CGTGTTGGAATGCGCAGATTCTCTCGTTTAGGCCACGAGCGCCTAATCCTCTCGTCAGGTGAATCAGGGAGTGCAGGAGGCGATGGTGGCGGTGAGGCGGAGGCTCGTGGTGGCGCAGCAGGGCGAAGATGGGAAGTCGGGAACACCTGCAACTCCTGGGAGTCAAGGAATTTGACCAAGTAACGAGATCGTGCGAGGACAGCTTTCACGGTTGCACGTTGCCACAGGTCACCATCCAAAACCTCGACGTGGTCTCCGAGTTGGAAGGTTACTTCGACTGGAGGTTGCGTACTAGAGGCGGCGTCCCTGCATTGTCGCTTGCGTGGAGGCATCTGCAAAAGAGGAAACAGAGCAAACCAACAAAAAAAAAGAATCTCAAGTCAGTGAACAAGTATGTACAAGTGATGTTCTCCAGCAAGTCGGATCAGCGACAAGGAGGAGTCCAGCGACACATGCATACAGAAATCTCCCTAACACCACAACAAATTTCACACTCTCAAATTTTGAAGTGCAATTGGCATGAAGAGAAAAATTCTCAAATCTAGCCAAATGAACCGTGTAAAGCGCATGGGGGTGGTCGAAATCTGCCCGAAATGGTTCGCCATAGGTGAAATCAAGCAAAGCATCAACCCAAAAAGAGCAATTTCGACAAACAAACCTGAGGCACCGAAATCAAAAAAGTGGAGATTCGAAGTGTGTACCTTGTTGGAATGGCAAATCGATGAGAGAAACAGATAGAGGGTGAAAATCTGATGAGGTTAGGCTTTGGAATCACTCAAATCGATGAAAATTCGAGTAATTTCGGTGTTGGTGAGGGTGGTTATGGCGAAAGTGTCGAGTGCCGTGAGGAGGAAGGGAGGAAAAAGGTGTGAGGGTTTTAAATAAACGTGGGAAAGAGAAGACTTACCTGTTTGTGAGTGACGGGCGACACCTAGGGTGGTGACGCGCGACACTTGCAAAGTGCGAATGGTATTTTCCTCGTGCCCGATCCGCGTCCGATTCCCCTCCGGTTCTGGAATTCCGGTTAAGCTAGGTCCTAAAAATTTTTTTTTTTTTTTTTTTTTTGGTGGAAAGTGACAGGCGACACCTAGGCGTCGCTCGACACCAGCCCTGTTTCACCTGAAACACAAAAAGAAAAACGAAAATCAACTGAAACAAAAAGACTTATTTACAGACTCACCAGTGGATTGCCTTCCACCAAGCGCTCGTTTAAAGTCATTAGCTTGACTTGATGGTGATTCAAGCAGGAGGTGCGCCATCCAGAGGCACGATATGTCCATCCGGAATCTCAGCTTTGGCCCAGTAGTGCTTCACCCTTTGTCCATTGACTGTGAACTCTCTGCTACCATCTGGTGTGAGGAGGACGACAGCGCCATAGGGGCGAACCTCTTTGACTATGAAAGGACCTGACCATCGAGAACGAAGTTTACCAGAAAACAATTGCAAACGAGAGTTATACAGAAGTACCTGATCATTCGGTTCGAATTGCCTAGAGAGGATTTTGAATCATGATACGCATGGTCTCTCTTGTACAACTTCGAATTCTCATAGGCATGGTGCCTGATTTCGTCCAACTCATTCAGCTGTATCAGTCGCCTCTCTGCAGCAGACTTGATGTCGATATTCATCAGCTTTATCGCCCAGGCTGCCTTGTGTTCAATCTCTACTGGAAGGTGACAGGGCTTTCCATAGAGCAGGTGGAAGGGTGTGGTGCCTAGAGGTGTTTTGAACGCTGTCCTGTACGCCCAGAGTGCATCGTCCAACTTCGCAGCCCAATCCTTTCGAGTTTTACTCACTGTCTTCTCCAGAATCTCTTTGATCTGACGATTCGAGACTTCAACCTGTCCACTCGTCTGAGGGTGATAAGGAGTGGCAACTCGATGATGAACTCCATGCTTCCTTAGGAGTTTTTCGAAAATCTTGTTAGTAAAGTGAGAACCACCATCACTTATAACAATTCGAGGTACTCCAAAGCGAGGAAAGATGATGGTCTTGAACATCTTAAGGACCACTGAAGAATCGTTGGTGGGACTGGCAATGGCTTCGACCCACTTTGAGACATAATCAACAGCAACCAGGATGTACTTGTTCCCATAAGAAGAGGGAAAAGGACCCATGAAATCGATACCCCAGCTGTCGAATACCTCAACCTCAAGGATGAAATTCTGTGGCATCTCATGTTGTTTGCTGATCTTTCCTCTCCTCTGACAAACATCGCACTGCGAGATGAATGCATGTGCGTCGCGAAACATGGTAGGCCACCAGAAACCTGCTTGAAGAACCTTAGACACTGTTTTGAATGTTGCAAAGTGTCCAGCATATTCGGATCCATGACAATGAAACAGCACTTCTGGAACCTCTGACTCTGCAATGCATCTTCTGTAAATCCCATCAGAACAGTGCTTGTACAGATATGGCTCATCCCAGTGGTATCGTCGCAGCTCTCTCAGGAACTTCTTCTTTGCATAGCCGTTAAAGTTCTCAGGCTCAGCCTCTGCAGCGAGATAGTTGGCAATATCTGCATACCAAGGACGTTGGGTGGTAGATGCAACAGCTGAACTGATCTCAGGAAACCTGCTTCGAATTTGAGAGGTCTCTGTGTTCGCCTGAGTAAGGTGACGCGCGACACTAGTGGTGGTGTCGCTCGTCACTAACGTTCCTCCAACTCGAAAAACCTGCAATTCTTCGTCAAAACTGTTATGGGACTTGGTTTCCACATAATACACATTCTCCTCTGGCAGGAAATCGTCTATGGGTACATCGTCTTCAACCCTGATGCGTGAAAGATGATCGGCCACACCATTCTCAACCCCCTTCTTGTCCTTGACCTCAATATCGAATTCCTGAAGGAGTAGCACCCATCGCAGCAACCTAGGCTTGCATCCTTCTTCTGCATCAAGTATTTGAGTGCAGAATGGTCTGTGTGCACAATCACTTTCGATCCCACAAGGTATGGCCGAAATTTCTCAAAAGCAAAGACCACAGCCAACAGCTCTTTCTCAGTAGTAGCATAATTCCTTTGAGCATCATCCAGAGTTCGACTGGCATAGTAGATGGCATGAAGCTTTTTATCCTTCTTCTGTCCTAGAACAGCACCAACAGCAAAATCACTAGCATCGCACATCACCTCAAAAGCCAAATTCCAGTCAGGAGGCTGCACAATGGGGGCGCTGATCAGGGCATGCTTGATCTGTTCGAACGCAGCAAGGCACTCATCTGTAAACTCAAACTTAGCATCTTTGCAGAGCAGAGAAGTAAGAGGGCGTGCAATCTTGCTGAAATCTTTGATGAAGCGACGATAGAAACCTGCATGACCCAGAAAACTTCTAACCGATTTCGCAGAATCAGGTGGTGGCAAGCTCGTCATGACGTCAATCTTCGCGCGATCCACTTCGATGCCAGCTGCAGAAACCTTATGCCCAAGCACAATCCCATCTCTGACCATAAAGTGACACTTTTCCCAGTTAAGGACCAAGTGTTTCTCTTCACAGCGAGCCAGAACCTTGCAGAGATTATCCAGACAGTCCTTAAAAGATGATCCGTAGACGGAGAAATCATCCATAAAGACCTCCATGAAATCCTCAATCATGTCAGTGAAGATGGACATCATACATCTCTGAAACGTCGCAGGAGCATTACAGAGTCCAAAGGGCATCCTGCGATATGCGAAAGTGCCGTATGGACATGTAAAGGTGGTCTTCTCCTGATCGTCTGGGTGGATAGGGATCTGGAAAAATCCTGAGTACCAATCGAGGAAGCAGTAGTAGGGATGGCTTGCAAGTCTCTCCAGCATCTGATCAATAAAGGGCAATGGAAAGTGATCTTTTCTGGTCGCTGCATTCAGCTTCCTGTAGTCGATGCACAGTGTCGATGCACATCCTGTGTCCAGTCACTGTGCGCGTCGGAATCAACTCATCCTTGTCATTCTTCACAACAGTAACCCCTCCTTTCTTAGGAACCACGTGCACAGGACTCACCCAAGCACTATCTGAAATTGGATAGATGATTCCAGCTTCCAGTAGCTTCATGATCTCCTTTTTGACGACGTCTTTCAGGTTAGGGTTCAACCTGCGCTGGTGCTCGATCGACGACTTCGACTCATCCTCCAGGTGGATTCGGTGCATGCACAAGTCTGGTGAGATACCTGAAATATCATCAAGAGAATAGCCAAAAGCTTTGCGATGCTTGCGCAGCTTGCTCAGTAGTAAGGTAACCTCAGCATTGTTCAAAGAAGAATCTATAATGACTGGATAGGTAGAATTAGAGCCCAGGAATGCGTACCTTTGTCCTGCAGGGAGTTGTTTGAACTCAATCTTGGGTGCTTTCTCCTCACTCCAGTCGGATAACTGCTTCACCTTTGCAGGAGTCTCAAGCTGTTCAACCTGCGATGCCAGCTGCATCACATGCTCGCTAGAGTCCAACATCTTTGAGTAAGAAGCTGAAATTTCGTCCAAGTGTTCAGCTTCAGATGCAGACGTGGTCAAAGCTCTCTCAAGTGGGTCTGTAGGAAGCATCTCATGGAAAAACTCCTCAGCAAACTCTGTGAGAGTGTCGACATAGAAGGTCTGACCATCGATGGTGGGCTTCTTCATCAGCTTGTCCATGTCAAAGTTCATCACCAGATCTCCAACATTCAGAGCAATCCTGCCTTTCCTGACATCGATGATAGCACCTGCTGTAGCTAGAAAAGGTCTCCCAAGGATAAGAGGATCTTTAGGCTCCTCTCCATACTCCAAAACCACAAAGTCGGTCGGTATCATGCAGTCTCCAACCTTGATTGGAACATCTTCTAGCACCCCTTCAGGTATCCTTGTCGAACGATCAGCTAGGATGAGGGAGATCCTTGTTGGCTTGAAATCAGTCATGCCGAGATTGACAGCTACCGAATAAGGCATGAGGTTAACACTTGAACCCAGATCACACAGCGATCTCTTGAATCTCTCTGTGAAGATAGAGCAATCCAAGACAAAGCTTCCTGGATCAGATAGCTTCTCTGGAATTCAGTTCTGAATCACTGCACTGACTTGCTCAGATATCATCATCATTCCCTGTTCATGGCTGAGATTATTGGTTACCATTCGTTTCACATAACGTCTGATGACAGGAGTGATTTTTACAGCATCAACCAAGGGTATCTCAATCACAAGCTTTTCCATCAGAGCTTTGCATCGTGCATCATCAAGCTCTTGCTTGGACTTCCTAGGGCTCCTTGGGTAAGGAACTTTAGGTTTGTAAACTTTCTCCTCTGCAGATTTCGGATTCGGAGCATCAACAGCTTCGCTCTGCAATTGGTGACGCGCGATGCTAGTGGTGGTGTCGCTCGTCACCGGCTCTGCAATCTCAGGAATTTCTTCAGAATCTTCTAAGTCCACGACTTCAGGTGCAGAGGCGTCTTCGTGGGCTCAGAACTCAGATTTTTACCACTCCTCAACGTGATAGCACTGCAGTGATGCCTTGGATTGGTGTCAGTCTTCCCAGGAAGAAAACCCTCTTGCCTTTTAACAGAACCTGCAGTTTGGGCTACCTGTGTATCGAGCTGCTTGACATGGGTGTTCAGAGCTTCGATTTTTCCATTCAAATCGAGGTAGAGAGCATCCATCTTCCCATTAAAGTCCACGGTGAGCTTCTGCTGACCTTCCAGAATCTGTTCCAGCATAGACTTCATCTCATTGTCAGGATTTTGAGGTTGAGATGAAGGAGTGCTGTAGTTTCTGGAAAAACTGTTGTTGGAGAAAGGTTTCTGGTACTGAGGCTTAGGCGTGTAACCAGAGAAATTCTGATTACTGTTGAAGGTATTCCTCTGATTGTTTCCACTGTAATTTCCACTGTAGCTTCTGTTACCTTGCTGATTACCAAACCTCTGACCCTGAAATCCTGATCCACTAACAAAATTGACATCCTCTTCCTCAGCTGCATCCTCAGGTTCGAAACTCTCCACCTCCTGTGCGAATCTGACAGACTTCTTACCCACTAAAAGGCTGTGCACAGAATCGAGTTTAGCTTTCACCTCAGCGATCTGCGATCTATCCATGTTCCAGCTTGCTTCTTTCGCTCAAGATCAGCATTCTTGGTGCTATTGCTGGATGCCAAATTTTCGATGAGCTCAACGGTTTCTTCTGGGTATCGAGTGTTGAAGTTACCATTGCTTGCTGCATCAAGTGCCATCTGATACCTCCAGTCGATACCTCTGAAAAAGATACCCAGCAACTGCACATCGCTGAAGCCATGGTGAGGGCAGTCTCGCTGGTACGATTTGAATCGCACCCAAGAAGCCTTGAACGCTTCAGTAGGGTCCTGAGAGAAAGTCGAGATCTTAGTCCTCAACTCCTCAGACCTAGCATCGTCGAAGAAGTTGTGCAGGAAGGCGTTCCTGGTCTCTTCCCAAGTGGTGAGTGATCCTGGCTCCAACTGCTTCAACCAGTTAGCTGCTTCTCCAGCAAGAGACTAAGGAAACAGCTTGCAGAGGAGGAAATCATTGGACACTCCATTGTATTTGATGCTGGTGACCAAATTCTCAAACCTCTCGATGTGATCCATAGGGTGCTCATGAGAGTGGCCATGGAATGGGTGCTGACCCACAAGAGTGTAGTACACAGGCTTCAGCTCAAAATCGTTTCTTTGAAACGCAGGAGCGCGAATCGCAGAACGATTTGCATAGAACTGCTCAGGCCTGTTGTAGTCTCCAAGTGTTCGTCCACGTCCAACTGCAGGTGCAGGTTCCCTCGCATTCCGATCCTCTGGAACGTCCTTATGATTTGGAACAATCACAGCATTCCCACGCGGTGCAGGTGGTGGATTCTGGTCAACAACATCCACTGGTAAAGGAGCTGGTGGAATGATGTTACCATCTCCATCAATCCTTTGGCCTCTCGCATTGCACAGATGACCCTCTCGGTTTCTCCAGGTTCCATCATCATCACGAACAAGTCCATTGGCGTTTTCCATCATTGCCGGATCTCTTGCTTTCCGCTTCGTTCGCTCTAACTCAGCTAGCTGTTCGTTGCTCAAATTCACTAGCGGGATGTCCTTGTTGCTCCTGGTTCCACGAGTATGCATAAACCTGAAACACCAAAAACAAAGAGAGAAAACGAAAATAAGTAAACTAGGTTATAAAAAGGAAGGTGACAGGCGACACCACAAGTGGTATCGCTCGACACTAAGTCGAAAAACTTAGTCGAAACTCAAAAACTAGGTTTAATGGCGAAATCAAGTCCCCGGCAACGGCGCCAAAACTTGATATGCTCAAAGTTTAATCCCTAAGCTACTCTGCAAGAGCACAGATGTGCAGTTGTAGTATCTAGGGGTCGAACCACAGAGACAAGAGATCACTCAATAAACCTTATGAAGATAGAGTTACGCTAAGCCAAAATATGCGAAACAAATAATAATGCAAAAGAAATAAATAAAACAGTAATGAAAACAGTTGTAAATTCGATGTGATAAAGGATAGGCCTAGGGTGATTTTCAGGAGATCAATGAATGCAAATCAACTTAACAAGTCAGGGCTCAGTTTAAGCACAGTTCTTGAACTCGAAACACAGAACTATAATTAACCAACTTCCGTTGTGAGAATTATCTAAGTTAAAATCCTAGAATCCCAAATTCCTTTGTAAATCCTACAGATTTAAACCAGCTTTAAAGCTCCTAAACCAAATTCCTTTGCGAATAGTTACTTTGCTCAACTCAGGTTCTTTCCAGTTATTCAATTACACTTCCGTGTCAATTAAGCAACCTAAGATCTAAGTTCTAGGTGATCAGTCCAGAATTAGCTTTAAGAACAACCTAAGGTGAAGAACAAATAGATATGAACCCTAACTAGCAAGTTAATCAAACAT